CTGTGCACACTAGCCTTTTCGAGACTGTGTAAAAAGCACAACGTACAAAAATACACCAGGCATTTCAGACGAAGAAAACAGCTTCAAGCTACATACATATGTAATACCGCAATTTTCTCGGTCTACCCCCTTTTCTCTCGCGTCCATAAAACGCCTAGAGGTGCAAAACTATCGAAGATACTATCGATAGTTTTAATTTTCCAACACTATCGATGGTTTTAACAAACTATCGATAGTTACTTTACATATTTAATTCCGTTACTATCCTTTCTATGGAATATTCGAAGCGCAGGTAATTTCCCTGAAAAAATTCGATTTGTAAAAATAATAAATTTTGTGCAATTTTAGGCATTCCTCTATGCATCGTGACAGGGCGTTGCAAGGATTTGAGCACATTTAGTTTAGGGTTTTTTTTTGTAGAATGATCTATATTTTAAATAAAAATTAACGAAAAAGGTTTGTAATGGAAAACATTACGAAACGAATACTTCTGTGAGTGACTGTACATATATTTCTACCCTGTGTTTTTACACGCATATACATCTACGCTTAACGTGTAAACAAACAGGCATCGAAAACTTCCATTTAAAAACAAGAAATTTTGATTTTATCGACAACTATTCATAAACGTACATAAAGTTTGTCGATTATATTGAGTTCAGGCGGAAATTTAATTTTGTCAATTAACCTTTTAATTGAGCTACCGCTTCTTGGTTTTCACACAGTCAGCTGAGTAAAATTCTTTTAAAATCTTTGAAAACTAATTATCATCAACGCTTTATTTATTAACTTTTTTAACCATAATAACGCGATAATATGGATAGTTTTCCGGAAAATAGCTAAACGATTGATAGTCTGACAATAACGATACTATCGCGATGCTATCGATAGTCTTTCCAGAAATTGCGAAACGATCGATGGTGTGACTATCGATAGTTTCCCACCTCTAAAAAAGCCGACGGTCAGAAAATACTAGTGTGTGCAGCCGGATAACATAAACAGTTTTATAATGGTTTACTTGGGCCATACTGAAGAGCAAGTAGTCTTCCACCGCAAAAACTTCGTAGTGGAAACTGTTGATCTATAGTTAGTTGTGAATTGTATGTTGTACTATAAGAATAGTAGTCTACAAAATGAGTTCATAAAATATTTAATTATTTTATAAGTATATATAAGTAGAGAAACTGAAATATTTTAGGAAATGAAATGTCAATTGAATAATAATTTAAGGTCTTTGTCTAATTTTTTCCGGCAGTTTTCTGAACTTAATTTTATGAACATCAGTGGCTGATTGGTTAAAGGGTGCGTACTACCACTTCGTAGGACCTGGGACCTGTAACACAAGCGCTACAAATCCTACAAGTGTTCAAATAAATTAACCAGGTGTAGTTATTTTGTAACTGCAACTTGTAGTTACAAGTGCCGTACTTGTAATTACGGAACTTTTTGTACAACTGTAGTCTATTTCCGTAACACAACAAACACACTTGTACAGTTGTGTTACGGATATTTCTACAACTGTAAACAATTTTCTACCTATCTCGAACGGTGAGTAGATCCAGTTTAGTGAAGTATTTTGCCGTTAGCATACTATTTTTATGTCAATATGTGGTCAATTGATTCCGAAAGTAAGAACGAAAACGTTCCTACAGTGTATCAGTATCGAGAGAGAATGAATACGTTCTTCTTGAGAGACGCAGAATTTGTGGAAAGGTTCAGACTGAATCGAGAACAGTGTGAAACTGTGCTTGAAGATAAAGGCCCAGTAATCGTGAATAAAACAATTCGATGCTACGGTTATTTTCTTTAACTTTTTGTAAATAATGCATCTTTTTTCAACATTATTTGTTTTGCAGCCATATTTAATTAATAATAAATGTTATAATTTTCACGGCAAGTGCCACCGAAAACAATTGCTCGTAATAGAGCTCTTGTTAATAGGGACACGAATTTCGATACGATACTATATCGATATTTTTTCCATTCGATACCATATTTTTTAATCGATATTTTTCAAACGATATTTTTTGGAATTGAGTACCATAACCCTTGTATCGTATCGAATCGCAAAGGCGCATTGCAAAGTTAATGTATCTGACGTCACGTTACAAGACATTACGTTGCTAAAATCTCCATTGTAACTTTTTTGTTAATATTGTTTTTAAATTAATTTCTAACGCAAATATAATATGAATTTTATGTGGAATATATTTTTTATTTTGACTTCAACGCACCCTAGCGGTTCAATTTATTGCAAATCTATGTCGTACTATTACCGCTGGAAAAGCCCATATGTCTATACTTTGGAATTGATATGTAAAGCAATATGGTTATATTTTGGGCTTTACAGAGTCCAATATTCAGATTAAATTTTTTGAATTTGGTATTGATATTGGGAATATCGGGTATTCTTATCCCGTTAATAATGGGTACCCGATATTTTTTCAGCGATACTTTAAATGAGTACTATATCGATACTTGCGGTTCGATATCGTGTCCCTACTTGTTAATCGATTGGTCGGTTAGCAAAAGCTGTTTCAAAAAATTACCGACTTCACTTAATCGACTAACCGTTTCGTTTCTCCTTTTTCAACTTAACGCTCACAAACTACTAGTCGAAACTCCGTTCATTTTCGATTTATCGACTAGTTGTTTTCTTTGAGTAAACATTTATTTTTTATTTTTTTAATACTTATGCTTATTGACAAAACCCAACCGGGCTAATACAAATAGTTTTATGATGAAAAACTGTCACTATTCGAATAATTTCGGTTAGTCGGTTTTACAGACTACTCGATAGGTAGCGGATAGTCTATTTTTAAAAAGAGATCTAGCTTGTAAATAACTAAATCAAGGCTATTCAAAATTTGTATATTAAAGTGAAAATCGAGATGCATCTACAAATGCTTGTAGAAACTACAAGGTGGCGCAAAAGTAACCTTGCGATGTTTTTTGGCTGTAATTTAAAAAAAAAAAGAAAAACTTTGATTCTTCTTGTGGATTATTTTTATTTGGTCTTTTAATTTTTTTTACATCAAGTCGAGAATATGATGTCATGTAAATGGCCGGCGCCACAGTTGATTGCCATTTGAGCCCTTTTTATGGCATTTTCCATCACTTTGGCCAAAACTTCCGGCGATAGGTCCTCACATTCTTGACGGATATTGTCTTTAAGAGCTGCAAGAGTCTGAGGCTTGTTGACATAAACCCGCGACTTCAAAAAGCCCCACAAAAAGAAGTCTGGAGCGGTCAAATCAGGCGATCTTGCTGGCCAGTGCAAATCGCCAAAACGGGAGATTAGGCGCCCGGGAAATGCATCCTTCAGCATATCGGTTGTGGCACGTGCAGTGTGTGCCGTTGCACCGTCCTGTTGGAACCACATGTTTTCCAATCCCAATTCATCAAGTTGCGGCAAAAAGAACTCGTTGATCATTGCTCTGTAGCGCTCACCATTCACAGTAGCCGTTTGGCCCGCGACGTCTTCGAAGAAAAAAGGTCCGATGACTCCTCCAGCGAAAACAGCACACCATACAGTGACTTTGAGCGGGTGTAATGGCTCTTCGTGGGTTACACGCGGATTTTCAGTGCCCCAGAAGCGTAAATTTTGCTTATTTACGTACCCGTTAAGATGGAAATGGGCTTCATCACTCATGATTATTTTTGATGAAAAATCATCTTCCTCTTGGTGGTGATTAAGGATGGCTTGAGCGTATGTTAGACGCGATTGGTGGTCAGCAGCTAACAGCTGATGCACCGTCTGGACTTTGTACGGAAACATCTTCAAATCTTGTACCAAAATTCGCTGTAAAGACCGTCGACTGATACCCATTTGCGTGGCACGTCGTCTGGTCGATGTCGACGACGCTTCCATGACATCCTCGGCTACAGCAATATTCTCTGCAGAACGGCTACTCCGGGGTCTGCCACGCCTGGCAGCATCTCGTGTTGTGCCAGTCTCTTCGAGGCGAGCGGCTAAACGTCGCAGTGTTTCACCAGTTGGCGTTGGACGGCCAGGAAATCTGCGACGAAATTCACGTTGTGCCAAAGTCACCGACCGATTATTGGTCAAATAAATAGTCAGCAATATTCCGCGTTCTGGAGCAGTGTAGCGTAACATTGTTTATTTACGTGTATTTCGCATGTGTTTACTACACAAATGTTAAAACAGAACTGACATTAGGGGCCAATCGCAAAATTTATAGCATTTTCTGATAGGAGGATTACTTTAGCGCCACCTTTTACATTTACAAGTGTAGAATATTTCGCTGATAGCTACAAGTGTATAAAATAATATTGTGTTACAAGAAATTCTAGAACTTGTAGCTACAAGCGATTCACTAATAACTTGTAGACTTGTTACAATTGTAAAATTTGTATTACAGGCCCCTGGTTCGATCAGAGGCCAGGGCAACATCTAAATTAGAAAACGTTTTTTTCTAACAGCGGTCGCTTTCGGCTGGAAAAGGTATACGCCAAGTGTGTTTCTGCCATGAAAAGGCTTTTAATAAGAAAACGAAAATTTTAGTTTTTTGCCTTTCGAACTTGTTTTTTTTTCTCATTAAAAATTCATAACAAATGTGGCGCTACAGCCAGATTTCTATCCAAAGACACTTATCAAACCAATTTGTGTATTAAAGTCTAAAATATTGTACTTGGAGAGTTTGACAATGCAAAATTTTTTAGAATTGAGCAAATTTATACAAAACCCTCAGTAAATCAGAAAGACTTATAGAAGTTCGAAGTTAATGCTAGTAATATGCAGAAACATTAAAGACAATTAAAAACGAATTTTCTGGGAAAATTTACTTGATGGAATTTTTTATAAATTTTTTTTTCGTAGCTTAGTATTAATATCTACCAAAATTTCTAATTAGTTTTTTAAGGGCGATACCATCGTAGGCCTGTGTTATCTACTGAAGTCTGGAATGGAATGAAAAGGCTTTTAATAACAAAACGAAAATTTTAACTTTTTGCCTTTCGAACTTGTTTTTTTTCTCATTAAAATTCATAAAAAATGTGGCGCTACAGCCAGATTTCTATCCAAAGACACTTATGAAACCAATTTGTGTATTAAAGTCTAAAATATTGTACTTTGAGAGTTTGACAATGGAAAATTTTTTAGAATTGAGCAAATTTATACAAAACCCTCAGTAAATCAGAAAGACTTATGGAAGTTCGAAGTTAATGCTAGTAATATGCAGAAACATTATAGAAAATTAAAAACGAATTTTCTGGGAAAATTTACTTGATGGAATTTTTTATAAATTTTTTTTTCGTAGCTTAGTATTAATATCTACCAAAATTTCTAATTAGTTTTTTAAGGGAGATACCATCGTAGGCCTGTGTTATCTACTGAAGTCTGGAATGGTATGGATAAAGAGTAATCATGATCATGGGCGTAGCCAGGTAGGGGCAGGGGGCCCCCCCCCCCCCAAACTTCCAAATTTTTGCCTAGATATTCAAAAATAGTACCACGAAATGCTTGCTTGATAATTTCGGCCCCCCTAACTTTCAAGGTTTTTCCTATATATATACTGTTTAACAAATTATAGTCCCAACGCTAACAAAATAATTAGTAAATTGATTTAAAAAGTGGATATGTGGATCATCCGGTTCTGTATCAAGTTATTCTCTCTAACTTCAAAGCACTTCCATTTAAAAATTGTAAAAACCTGGCTGCAGTCGACAATGAGCAAAAATAGTTCAATTGTTTATTACTTTGTCTTTAGGTTTGTATCTTTTCTAAGCGTACAACGAAAGTTTTGTATCACAGATTATTGAGATTATTGATAAAACTATTGACCGGTTGTGTGGACAGCCAAGACGTTTACTTCTTAAGTGTGACAAAACAAAATCAAGTAATACATATATTTAGCATAAATGAATATACCAGCATAAAAAATCTGCATACTCAAAATGTTCAATACGTCCTCATATTTATACATACCTATGTATATAATTTAGAGAAGATATTTCGCTGCAAAGCAATGATTATAAATTGTTAGTTTACCTTTCAAGATTGCGGAGGAATATTACAGAGTATACGGAAAAAAGTTTATTTCTTTACATTTTTTATTTTGAATAACGTCTGGCCCGGCTATTTGGTTTACTATAAAGGTATAGGTAGTATACAGGTATGTAGAGCTATGAATTTAAAAAATACATCAGGGTTTAGTTGAGATGTTCGCTTTTGACCACTATGTTTTGTAGATTTCCTAGTACTGCAAAGCTTTTGCCTGCCATTCAACTGGGAGTGGCCCGTGTGCGCTGGGTTTGGGTCCCGCCACGTTAAAACCCTGCCCAATGAAAAAAACCACATGCCGCGGGTGATACCCCCTTCTATTGATGACGATCACGGCAAACATAGGAGGGACTATGATTTTAGGGTATGTACTTGGAATATCCGAACCCTTAATCGGGATGGTTGATGTCCTAGGGAAAAATAAAGGCTGGCATCACCGCCATCCACGAAATGCGATGGATGGGCGAGGAAGGTAAGCGTGGAGCCTTGCGACGTCTACTACAGTTGCCACGTAAAGGAGTGCAATTCGGTGTTGGATTTGTGATGGGAGAGACCGGCGTTCACTCTAGTGGACGAAAGTCTAGCCACAATCCGCATCAAACCGAGATTCTTCAACATCTCATTCATATGTGCCAATGCCCCGATGGAAGAGAAGGACGAGGCATCCTGAGGGTGATCGGCTTCGCCGGGGCCCGAAACTTGGCAGTATGTATTACTGGGTTCTAGCATAAAGAGATCCATCAAGCTACATGGATGTCTCCACATCGAAAACCCGGAAACCAAATCGAGCATGTTGTGATAGACCGAAGGCATGCTTCCATGTTTTAGATGTACATACGTACACTCCGAGGGGCAAACATCGACTCGCACTACTATATTGACGCATCCAATATACGACCCAACCTCGGAGCAGCAAAAAAAGGGCCCCCAACAATGCAAGGAAAGTTCAACGTCGAAAAGGTTCAATCAAAACAGACAGCCAATGAATTCGGCGCTCGACCCTCACAGCTGCTGTGAGAGAGCACTCTTCAACAAACCAACTTGCGCGATCAGTGGAACCACATTTCCCGCTCATTACTGGTACGATGAGGAGTGTGAGAAAATGCTTGAAATGCTGGCCGACAGAAAAAACACCCGAAATTTTTATCAGAGAGTTGAGCGACTTACGGAAGGTCTCAAGGCTCTCATATTATGGAGGGAAGACTTTTCGACCCTTTTGAATGGCAGAAGCACTGAAAGAAGTGGAGAAGACGAACCCGAGGTCCCAGTCGATGACGATGGAGTCAATATCCCAGCGCCTGACTATAACGAAAAGTGCCAAAGCTGCTTGAGCTGACGGCCTGTCAGCTGAGCTATTTATTTACGATGGCAAGGAGGTAATAAGGTGCATGCCCGACGACTGGAATTCAAGTGCGCTCTGCCCAATCCACAAGACCCCGCCATGCGTGCCAACTACCGCGGGATCAGCCTTCTAAGCATAGGTTGCAAGGTCTTATCGAATGTATTGTCTACCATAGACCAGGTATTCACAATACGCCAAATCTTGGAAAAGACCCGCGAGAAAAGGATCGGCACTCACCACCTATTTGTTGACTTTAAAGCCGCTTTCGACAGCACTAAAAGGAGTTTCCTATATGTATGTCTGAATTTGGCTTCCCCTCAAAACTCATACGGCTGTGAAAAATTACGTTGAGCAATACCACCAGCTCTGCTCTATTGCCTTCGGCACCAGACGGGGTTTCTGACAGGGCGACTCTCTTTCATGTGACTTCTTTAATCTGATGTTGGAGAAGATAATAAGATCTGCAGAACTGAACTGCTTAGGAACAATTTACTACAAGAGCGTATAATTGCTGGCTTATGCCGATAAAACTGACATCATCGGTAAGAAAAACCGCGAAGTGTGTCCTGGCTTTTCCAAGTTGGGCAAGGAAGCAAAGCGAATGGGTCTGGTGGTAAACGAGAACAAGACGAAGTATCTCCTTTCATCAGACAAACAGTCAGAACTTTCGTGCCTTGGCACCCACGTCACTGTTGACAGTTACAATTTCGAGAAAGTAGAGAATTTCGTTTACTTGGGAACCAGCATTAACACCGATAATAATGTCAGCATAGAAATCCAACGCAGAATCGCTCTTGCCAACAAGTACTACTTTGGACTGAGTAGGCAATTCAGGAGTAAAGTCCTCTCTCGACGTACGAAAACCACACTATAAGTTACTCATCATGCCCGTGCTGGTATATTGCGAATTAAAATACAGCGGCTCAACTGGCTTGACCATGTCGTTCGAATGGACACCGACGCCCCAGCTCTGAAAGTATTCTGGCTTCACTTGGCATTTCCAATTGGCGTCAGTTGGCCGAAATCGCTTTAGCGGTTATAGAGCCAAATAAGAAGAAGAAGAAGAGAATAGATCTATAACTTTATCAGTCACATAGTGTTATAACGACGAAATCCTTGACGGTGGTACCAGGAGGGGAACGGTACATGACGGGAGGAAGTTTTGTTTGGGTTAAAGTCTCACACTGACGAGGTTAGGCTTTCGATGCTTCCTCCTCGTAAAATAAACATGCTCAGTAAAAAGTTAACAATTAAAATCGACGAATAGTTTTATATCAACTTTTGTGAACTTCTGTTTATTTGTTTTTTGTACAACATATTTACCTCTATTGGTTACAATAATTTTAAGCTATAATAAGCAATTTTTTGGTAAGTAAGTTATTGGTTTTGATTTTTTTTTTGTAGGCCTCCCCCCCTAAATTTCGTTCTGGCTACGCGCATGATCACGATCTTCGTGAAGAATGAAGAATTAAGAATTAAAATTTATAGAAGTGTATAAATTTGCTTGTTGCTGATTCTGAATGAAGAAAACTTATAGAGATCTTAAATTTGTAGAGGAGTTGCACTAATCAGGAAATAGAAAAGAAAACAGGATAAAAAATAGTCATATAAAAATATATCTACACGCAGAGCCTCATAAACCTCTTTTAGAATACATGTTATTTATTAAGAGCATTATAAAACCCTTATAAGAGCACAGTCTACGAGTAGTCTTAAAAATCCTTTATGAAACCGATTGCTCTTCACACATAGACAAGAAATATATAACGGTAAGAATGACTCATATATGAGTATGCAGTATTACACACAGGCGATGCCTCTAGCCATTGAGGGTCTCACCTTTAAACTATCGCAGGTTTTTTTTTTCATCCAGAGTTCATCGGGCGCGAGGCACGAGGATGCACTCGA